TTAGCCACACTCACTCCATTTTGATTTTGATTCTACATACCCAGAACACTAGGAACTCCATCTGGGTCTCCCACGTGGGTGGCAGGAACCCCAGGACCTAGGCCATCATCTGCTACCTCCCAGGATGCACCTTATCAGGAAGCTGGATGGAAATTGGAGGCAGGACTCAATCCCAGGCGCTCTGATAGGAGATGCAGGCATCCCAAGAAGTGGCTTAATCTGCTCTGCCACAACACTTGCCCTGACATTTTTCATTTGTATATTTGCATGCTTTTTGTTTATTTCCCCCGTTTTATATTAAAATGAAGTCAAAAAAAGTTTGTGGTGTTACTGAGAACAAAGGTCCATTTACTCACTGCTCACAGGCCAATACTTGAGAGACAAGAATTGATGAGAGGAAATCTGGCTTATTCAAGAGGCTAGCAACTTAAGGAGATGGTGGACTTTTCGTCACAAAAGCCATCTCAAATGCTCAAGTTCACAGGGGGACTTTTAAAAGGAAAAGGGAAGTTGGGGAGAGAATTAAGGAGGGTAATGAGAGGTAGTGGTCCATTTGATCTGGGCTCAGCTATTTACAGCTGGTGATCATATGTTCTTTCTGTATCTGAAGTCCTTCAATTTTAGCTGGCTTCTCTGAGGTGAGCCCCTAGAATTTTTTTTTTTAGATTTGTTTATTTATTTGACAGGCAAAGTGAGAGAGAGAGAGCGAAAGAACAGGAGTGAGAGCAAGAGATAGAGATCTATTGGTTCACTCCCCAGACGGCCAGTTCAGGCTGATGCCAGAAGCCCAAAACTTCATCCTGGTCTCCCACGTGGCTGGCAGGGACCCAAGCACTCAAGCCATCTTCTACTGCCTTCCTAGGCACATTAGTGGGGATCTGGATCCAAAGTGGAGCAGCTGGGACTCAAATCGGTGCTCATATGGGATGTGGTGTCACAAGCTGCGGCTTAACCTACTGCTCCACAACACTGCCCCCCCTCCCCAAATTCTTACACAAGTCTATTAAATTAAACATAAGTCTGATTAGTTGAAAAGTGAGTAGTTAGCTTTTGTTAAGCAAAAATGGGGGAGGAGAAAAATGGAGTCACTTGAGAGTAGCTAAGGTGGTGTTTTTATTCTCTAACACTGTTTCCCCTTCATTCTTGTTTATGTTCTTTACAGCAGCTAAAGCTATTTCCTTGTCCTTCTAGTAAAACACAGCACAGGAGCATGACTGCTCATTTAGGTTTTCTTTGTTTCTCTTTTGTCTACCAGGTTAATCAGATGTACTCATTGCCTATACTCATCCTTCAACATCAAGCATCATTTTTTCGCTCTACTTAAGATTCATCGGCCACAATCACCCCTGTACTTTCAGCCAAAATACAGTGCATTTCTAATGTTCTTTCACCAATGCTTCGGTTTGCTTCCTGAATTTTTGAGAGCAAAATGGTCAAAATACTGTGAATGTCCTAATGGATTTCCCATATTAAAATACCTTCTCACATAATATAAAATGTTCTGAACCAACATGCTATAACAACTTTCTTCAAACTTTTGTTATGATACTGGCAGACATTATGAGCGTTTACAAATATTTGTTTATCTGAAAAGTAGGGAGAGAGATCTCCTCCATCTGCTGGTTCACTTCCTAAATTTCTGCAACAGTCAGGTATGCGCCAAACTGAAGCCAGAAGGAGTCCAGAAATCCATCAGGGTCTCCCAAGTGGGTGGCAGGGGCTCAAGCAACTGGGCCATCTTCTGTTTTCTCAGATGCATTAGCAGGGAGCTGGATTGGAAGCAGAGTTTTGTAGCTTTAGTTTTTATGTTTATGTCTTTGATCCATTTTTATATGATATAGTCAATGTACCATTAAAACACAAAGAACTTTGACAAACTAGACATGTGGATGGAGCCAGCATCACTGCCTCTCAGGGTCTGTATTGGCAGGAAGCTGGAGCTAGGTATCTAAACCAGGTTCTCTGATGTGTGTGCAGGTATCTTAACCTATCCCTATTTATTTTTAAGATGCCAAATTAGAATCACAATATAATAGTGATCTCCTCATTATGTAGTACTGATCTTCTCATTATGCATGCTTTTAAAATTATCTTCATTAAGCTATTATTTTGAAAAATTTACTTTTTTATTAAAAATATTTATTTATGTTGTGGAAATACCACCATAATCAAGACATATAACAGTTCCATCATGCTAAGAAAATTCTCCTGTGCCCTTTTGTAGTCAATCTGCTTTCTGATGCCCCACTTTTTATAGCTGTAGGTTTTAAATTTGTATTTCCATGTTAATCCTGTTTATGTATTTTTTTTTGACAGGCAGAGTAGACAGTGAGAGAGAGAGACAGAGAGAAAGGTCTTCCTTTGCCATTGGTTCATCCTCCAATGTCCGCCGCGGCCGGTGCGCACCGCGCTGATCCGATGGCAGGAGCTAGGTACTTATCCTGGTCTCCCATGGGGTGCAGGGCCCAAGCACTTGGGCCATCCTCCACTGCACTCCCTGGCCACAGCAGAGAGCTGGACTGGAAGAGGGGCAACCGGGACAGAATCCGGCGCCCCGACCGGGACTAGAACCCGGTGTGCCGGCGCCGCAAGGCAGAGGATTAGCCTAGTGAGCCGTGGCGCCGGCCTGTTTATGTATTTTTAAAAAGATTTATTTTACTTGTTTATTTGAAAGAGTTACAGAGAGAGGTAGAGTCATAGAGAGAGAGAGAAAGAGAGAGAGAGAGATCTTCCATCTGCTGGTTCAGTCCCCAAATGGCCACAATGGCTGGAGCTGAGCCAATCTGAAGCCAGGAGCCAGGAGCTTCTTCCTGGTCTCCCATGTGGGTGCAGGGGCCCAAGGACTTGGGCCATATTCCGCTGCTCCTCTTAAGATTTATTTATTTATTTGAAAGGCAGAGTTAGAGAGAGAGAGAGAGAGAGAGAGAGAGAGAGAGAGGTCTTCCATCTGCTGGTTCACTCCCCAGATGGCTGCAACAGCCAGAGCTGCGCCGATCCGAAGCCAGGAGCCAGGAGCCTCCTCCGGGTCTCCCACATGGGCGCAGGGGCCCAAGGACTTGGGCCATCTTCTACTGTTTTCCCATGCCATAGCAGAGAGCTGGATTGAAGAGGAGCAGCCAGTACTAGAACCAGAGCCCATATGGGATGCCAGAATTTACATTAGCAGGAAGCTGGAGTCAGGAGCTGGAGCTGGGAATCAAACCCAAATGTTCCCATGTGGGATGTGGGCATCCTAACCAGTGTCTTAACTGCTTAGTCAGATGCTCACTCCATAATGTAAAATTTTTAGTACCACAAATGTGTATGTATCTGCTTAATTTACTCTGATCCTTTGGAGGGCCACAGGCCATTTGAATATCTATGAAAATCCTACTTCGGTATCTTACGTGTGATGCCACATCTCTTAAGAATGCTTGGTGTATTGTGATTAGGGTCAAATATTCCTCCTTCATCCATCTTTTACTCCAAATGAGAACATCTGTCATGACTGAATGCTCAGTCTCAAAGGACCATCCACGGAGCTACCCCAAGCATTGATATGGAGCTGTGCTCAAGTGCCTAGCCTACACCTGGAGGGAAATGTAGATCTCTGGTCTCATCTCTGTTTGGGAGAAATCTCTTCTTCACCCTGTCTGTCCTCAGAGGCCCCTCCCTCCTGATCAAGCACAAACAACCCCTTCCTTTTGTTAAAAGTTTGAGTTTTCACAAAGGATGGAACAAACATTGGCTTTAGATAGCTTATGCTTCCAGTCCTGCCTTTAAAACACACACACACACACACACACACACACAATTTTTTTAAAAGATTAATTTATTTGAAAGGCAGAGTGATAGAAAGAGAGGGAGAGACAGACAGATCTTCCACCTGCTGGTTCCCAGGGCCAGCATTGTGAAGTAATGGGTAAAGATACCACCTGCAATGCTAGCATCCCATATGGGTGCTGATTCGAGTCCCAGCTGCTCCACTTCCCATCCAGCTCCCCGCTAATGTACCTTGGGAAGCAGCTGGAGATGGCCTGAGTCCTTGGGCTCCTACATGCATGTGAGAGACCTGGAAGAAGCTCCTGGCTCCTGGCTTCTGTCTGTCCCAGCCCAGGCCTTTGTGGCCATTTGGGGAGTGAACCAGAGGATGCAAAATCTTGCGCTCTCTCTCTCTCTCTCTCTCTCTCTCTCTCTCTCTCTCTCTCCAACTGTGCCTTTCAAATAAATAAAATAAACAAAAGCTGGGAACTCCATCCGGGCAGGGACCAAGTACTTGGGACATATCCCACTGCCTTCCCAGGCACATTAGCAGGGAGCTGGACTGGGAGTGGAGTAGCCATGATTTGGATCAGCGCTAATACCTGATGACTGTTAGCAGGCAGCAGCTTAACCTGCTGTGCCACAATGCACTCCCGGACCATATCCCTGCTTTTAACCTTTCTTAGGCAAAGGGAAGGGACATCAAAGGCTGGCTGCCTACTGGAAAATGAAGGAGAGTGAATAGAGAACACTGATATTTATTTTAAAACATTTATTTATTTGAAAGGCAGGGTTAGAGAGAGAGAGGCAGAGAGAGGTCTTCCATCCACTGGTTCATTCCTCAAATGGCTGCAATAGCTGGGTGGATTTTGAAGCTAGGAGCCAGGCGCTTCATCCAATTCTCCCATGTGGGTGCAGAGTCCCAGGCACTTGGGCCATCTTCTGCTGCTTTCCGAGACACATTAACAGGGAGCTGCATCGAAAGTGGAGCACCCGGGACTCCAACCCGGGACCATATGGAATGCAGGCGAATTTACCTGCTAAGGCACAGCGCTGGCCCCAACACTAAAATTTTGAAATAAATGCATACAAGGGAATCTTCAAAAAGTTCGTAGAAATTACATGTTATGAAAAACTATGCATGTGATTCATTTTTTTTTTGCACCAAAATAAATTTACCTTTTAATTCTATTTTCCACAAACTTAGGTACCCTCGTATTTCCCCAAGGTTACTTTTAAAGCAGACAAAATTCAAGACAACAGGGACATGTTTACTTCCAGCAACCTGGGCAGAGTTTCCCCAATAGCCTGCATCCAAGCCTAGTTCCTGTAATTGCTTTGACAGCTCAGGTAATGCCATGAAGAGTGATGGTGTTTAAGAAAAAGCGGAGCGTCAGGGTTGGGGAGTGGAGTGCGTTGCCCAGTGGAGGAACTCTGTTCGGAGGCGTTTCCTGTGTGGCGAATCAGCGGGTGCATCGCGGTTGCCATAGTGACCTGACGTCATTACGGCGACGATGGAGGCCCTGAAGACTTTTTATTAGATTTCAACATGGCGAGAGAGGCAGGGTTTCGACTTCAGGTGTTTGGGCCGCAGCTGAGGGTGTAGGTACCCCGCGATGGAAGGTGAAGCTCCCTGGAGTGTGAAGAGACGAAGGGAATGCTGCATCCAAGGAAGTCTGCTTTGGGACTCAGTGCTGGCCATCTCGTGAAGGGGAGGGAGCTGGGACTCTCCTGTTCCCAGTTATTGGTGGTGGTGGTGGTGGGTCCTGCTCCAGGGTGTCCTGGAGCGACTTTCCAGGTAAAGGCGGGGCGCGGGAGGACGGGACGGGTAACGACTCTGTCGGAACCCAGCTTCCCAGCTGTAAAATGGGAGTAAGAAGGCTCACCCGCAGGATTGCTGCGGCCTCAGTGAGAACACCTGTGCAAGCCCAGTCAGTACCGTGTGGGTCATTGGGGGATCACGAAGGCCTGTGTAAGTTCAGACCGCGCCTTAGCCCTTCAAAAATCTGTTGTTAGAGGATAGATGGGGAAAGAATAAGCTTCTGGTAGGAAACTCATTGTACCCTCTGGTTATTATAATCACTACCCAACTGTGTCAGTGTTGCTCACTGACCCAGTGTCTAGCGTGGTCCTGGGCACGTAGTGACTCTGGAAAGCATAATGACTCCTGTATGCCATTTCTTCCTGGGCAGCTCTTCATGCTGATGACCGAGCGCATATCAGGTGTCTGAAGGAGGTGGGTTCTGAGGATCTGGGTGGAGCTGGCTGCTGAAGCTTCTACTACTGATTTGAAGGCCAGCCTTTCTCAAGAGACCCCCAGCGCTTCCAGTATGGGATGCGGCACCTGGCTCAAGTGAGTTCCTACATCTGAAAATATATATTGTGCAGTCTTCACTGTGGCATTCACAAAATGGTCTGAAAGTAGAGAAGCTACTTTGATCTCTTCATTGGAGAACAGATGTAGCAGGTGGAATTTCACATGCTCTATAGTAGCTCTTGCCGCCCAGCTTAGGGAATGCTGTTCTTTGTCACACAGCAATGAATCTAGTTCAGTTAGGGAAGGAACTTAATTTTTTAAAAATATTTATTTTCTTTATCTGAAAGACTTATAGGGAGAGGTAGAGGCAGAGAGGTCTTCCATCTGCTGGTTCACTCCCCAGATGGCTGCAACAGCCAGAGCTCTTCATATGTTACAGGCCTGGGACTTGATACTTGGCTGGTGCAATTAGGAAGGGCACTTGTGTTTATTAACTGGTACCTATGGCAGTTGGCAGCTTTGATATTTACAGAGCAGTAATCCTGACCACCTAATTCCAGTTTCCCTCTGGTGTCACCAGGGACTGTCAGGCAGCTGAGGTGCTAACAGGAGCAGGGTTCTCATGTAGGAGATGGCATGCAGCAGCTGAGGTGCTAACAGGGGCAGGGTTCTCATGCAGGAGGTGGCATATGCAAGCCCCATGTGCAGACAGTACCCTGGCCATTATTTCCTCTCTGCAAGATGGAGCATGCCTTACCTTCAAATCATCCGGAGCTCAGCAGGGTGACCCATCCTCGGCAGAGGCCGCAGGGGAAAGCATTCGTTATTAACCATTGTGAGATTTTCTAAAATCTGGATACATGTCTTTAACAGATATATATATTTTAAAGATTTATTTTATTTATTTATTTGAAAGAGTTACAGAGAGAGAGGTCCGCATCCGCTGGTTCACTCCCCAGATGGCCGCAGTGGCCAGAGCTGTGCCGATCTAAAGCCAGGAGCCAGGATCCTGGGTCTCCCACGTGGGTGCAGGGGCCCAAGGACTTGGGCCATCTTCTACTGCTTTCCCAGGCCATAGCAGAGAATTGGATTGGAATAGGAGCAGCCAGGACTAGAACTGGCGCACATATGGGATGCCGGTACTTCAGGCCAGGGCCTGAACCCACTGCTCCACAGCGCCGGCCCTACAGATATATTATTTCTGAAAATTTCCTCCCAGTCAGTGGCTTATCATTTTATTTTGTGAATACTATCTTTGGAAGTACAGAAGTTTTTTTTTTTTTTTATGAGACTGATTTATCAACTTGTTCATTTTTGCTTTGGATGTTGCTATATTTGTATCATATCCAAGAAATCATCACCTAACACAAATCCTGTGTTTCTGTCTAGATACTTTATAGTTCTAGCTTTTATATCTAAGCCTATGAGCCATTTTGAGTTCCCTTTTGTGTATGATATGATGTATGGATACAAGTTTATTTTGGGCTGTATGGAAATTCAGTTGTTTCAGAACCCTAATTGCCTTTGCATCTTTGTCAAAAATCAGTTGTCCATATGTGTGTGGGTCTCTCTACTTTGTTATTTTGATATACCTTTCTATGCTGCTGCCAATACCACATTGTTCTGATTACTGTAGGTTTTTACTGAAGCCAGAAACTGAATTTGTCCTGCAACTTTGTGCTTTTTTGAAGTTGTTTTCCATAGTGTGGGCCCTTTGCATTTCCACATGAGTTTTAGAATAAGCTTGTCAATTTCTTTAATATATATATATGTGTGTGTGTGTGTTTTCATTTGAAAGGCAGAGTTACAGAGAGGCAGAGGCAGAGAGAGAAAGAGAGAAAGAGAGAGAGAGAGATCCTCCATCCACTGGTTCACTCCCCAAATGGCCACAATAGCAAGAGCTGGGCTGATCCAAAGCCAGGAGCTTCTTCCAGGTTTCCCACATGGTACAAGGGCCCAAGGCCTTGGACCATCCTCCACTGCTTTCCCAGGCACATTAGCAGAGAGATCGGAAGTGGAGCAGCTGGACTTGAACTGGTACACCCGTGGGATGCTGACACTGCAGGCGGCCCTGTCAATTTCTTTTTTAAAAATGTATGCTAGGGGGCTGGTGCTGTGGCGCAGTGGGTTAAAGCCCTGGTCTGAAGCACCAGCATCTCATACGGCTGCCAGTTTTAGTACCAGCTACTCCTCTTCTGATCCAGCTCTCTGCTATGGCCTGGGAAAGCAGTAGAAGATGGCCCAAGTCCTTGGGCCCCTACACCTGTGTGAGAGACCTGGAGGAGGCTCCTGGCTCCTGACTTCCAGCCATTGTGGCCATTTGGGGTATGAACCAGCAGATGGAAGACCTCTCTCTGTCTCTGTCTCCACCTCTCTAACTCTTTCTGTCGCTCCCCCTCTTCGTGGAGGAACGACACAGGACCCTGCCTAGGCTTCATATCCGTGTCACGGCACCATTATGTCGCTCCTCCTCTTCATGGAGGAACGACATTAAACCCTGCGTTGTTCTTTTGCCTGCTCGGCCCTCCCCGGGTTTGCTGCTGGTTCTTCCCGGGTTGGCTACCGTCCCTTCTACCTCCGTGGAAGGGGGGTTCCCCCTGGCCACATTACCCACTTCCGCAGGGGAGCAGCACACCGCCGGCCGGCTCTCTCGGGGGCTGCTCAGGTGTTCCTTCAGATAGATGTTCCCGGTGCATGTTGTCTCTCTCCTCCTTTATAGTCCTCTTCCACCAATCCCAACTCTGCTACCCACACGCCGAGTACGCTGCTCTCCTCCAATCAGGAGCAGGTCCTGCTGTTTATTGGTTGAACTGGAGGCAGCTGTGTAGAAGCTGTTTCCTCCTCTCCCAGCGCCATATTGTGGGAGAGCAGATGCATAGAATAAGTCTTAATTCCAGTAACTTAGTCTAGTTCGAGTTGCTCCCCACACTTTCAAATAAATAAATAAATCTTTAAAAAAAATGCTAGATTTTTATTGGAGTTGCACTGAATCTATAGATCAGTTTGAGGAGATTAGACATCTTTTTTTTTTAATATTTGTTCATTTATTTTATTTGAAATGCAGTTACAGAGAGGCAGAGGCAGATAGAGAGGTCTTCCATCCGCTGGTTCACTGCCCAGATGACCACAATGGCCAGAGCTGCGCCGATCCGAAGCCAGGAGCCAGGAGCTTCTTCTAGGTTTCCTTCACGGGTGCAGGGGCCTAAGGACTTGAGCCAACTTCCATTGCCTTCCCAGGCTATAGCAGAGAGCTGGACCGGAAGTAGAGCTGCCAGGACTTGAACCGGCACCCATATGGCATGACGGCACTGCAGGCTGGGGCTTTACCCGCTATGCCACAGCGTCGGCCCCAAAGATTTTTATTTTAAGAAATTGGTTCATGTGATTGTGGAGGCATGGTGAGTTGAAAATCTAGTGGATATGGCCACAGGGCTCAGATTCAGGAAAGAGTTGAAGTTGAGTACAAAGGCAGGAAGAGCCAGTATTGCTATGAAATCAAAGAGTGAGCTGGTAGAGCTCTTTCTTTGGGGGACATTTCCTTTTTAATTCTACTCAGGCTTCCAACTGATTGGGTAAGGCTCACCCGCATTGGGAAGGACAATCTGCTTTACTTAGTCTGCCAATTTAAATGTAAATCTTATACAAAAACAGCTTCATGGAGCATCCAGAATAATTAACTAAATATCGAGGCACTGTGACCCAGAAAATTTTACATACAAAATTAACCATCACAGCACTCCTTTGCCTGTATTTCCATTATCAGCTTTTAGAAATTATCAGCAATATATAAAGACTAGAGAGAAAAAAATGTCCCTGACACAATTCTGTAAGCGATCTGGAATAATTTATTGCTAAAATAAAATAGTTCAGTAGCTCTTGACTTTCAGCATTAAATCGTAGTTTTTCCCAAACAAATCCACCTTGATGAATTCCTGGGTTCTGGGTTGTGAGAAAGAGAGGGAAAGAGCATATATGTATAGAGGTGTGAATACACACACACACACACACACACACAAGATGCTGGAGTCATAGGTGGTGGCTCAACCTGCTGTGCTAGAGTGCCTGTCCCTGTATTTTCTTTTTGAATGCCATTGGAGTTTTGATGAGCATTGAAAGTGTAGATCACTTTGGATAGTATGGAGATTTTAACAATGTTTTTTAAATCCAGGAACTCAGAATACCTTTTCCTTTATTTTTTCTTCAATTTTTTTCATCAGTGTTTTGTAATAATCAGTGTATGGATCTTTTACTTCCTTGATTAAATTTATTACTGAGTATTTTATTCTCTCTGACTCTATTATAAATGGGAATGAGTTTCTTTTATTTCTTTTTCAGATTATTCATTGTTGATACGTGAAAATGTAGCTGATTTTTCTGTTTGCTTTACATCCTGCAAATTTACTGAACTTTTTTTTAATTAGTTCTAGCAGGTTTTTGGTGGATTCATTAATATTTTTTTAATACAAGGGGCCTTTTCAAAAGTTCATGGAAAATGGAATTAAAAGATAATGTAAGGGCTGGTGCTGTGGCATATCGGGTAAAGCTGCCCCCTGCAGTGCTGGCATCCCATATAGGTTCGGGTCCCAGCTGTTCCACTTCCACTCCAGCTCTCTGCTATGGCCTGGGAAAGCAGTAGAAGATGGTCCAAGTCCTTGGGTCCCTGCGCCCATGTGGGAGACCAGGGAAGAAGCTCCTGGCTTAGGATTGGCCCAGCTCTGGCCACTGCGGCCATTTGGAGAGCGAACCAGCAGATAGAAGCCCTTTTTCTCTCTCTGCCTCTGTCTCTATAACTCTTATTTCAAATAAATACATAAATCTTTTTTTAAAGATAATATGACTTTTTCGTGAATATTTTGAAGCTCCCTTGTGTGTGTGCTTGTGTGTGTGTGTGTGTGTGTGTATAAAGCATCATGATATCTGCAAAAAGAGACAATTGAACTTCTTTTCTGATTTGTATGATTTTTATTTCTTTAACTGCTCTGTCTACGGCTTCTATTATAATGTTGAGTAGAAGTGGCATGAGTGGGCCACTTACCTTGTTGCTGATTGTAAAGGGAAAATTTTAAATCTTTTTCACCATTCAGTATGTTAGCTGTAGTCTTGTAAATATGGATTTTTTTGTTGAAATGCATTTCTGTACCTAATTTTCTGAGATTTAAAAAAATTTTTAAAAAAATTATTTATTTGAAAGTCAGAGTTACACAGAGAAAGAAGGAGAGGCAGAGAGACAGTCTTCAATCCACTGGTTCACACCCCAGATGGCTGCAACGGCCGGAGCTGCGCCGATCCGAAGCCAGGAGCCAGGAGCTTCTTCAGGTCTCCCATGCAGGTGCAGGGCCCAAGGACTTGGGCCATCCTCTACTGCTTTCCCAGGCCACCACAGAGAGCTGGATTGGAAGAGGAGCAGGCAGGACTCGAACCAGCACCCATGTGGGTTGCCGGCACTTCTGGCAGCAGCTTTACCTGCTACCCCTTTATGTTTTTTTTTTTAATTTTTTAATTTTTATTTTTTTGAGAATTTTAATCATAAAAAGATGTTGGATTTTGTCAAAGGCCATTTCTGCATCTATTGAGATCATAATGCATTTTTTATTCTTCATTTTGTGAATATAGTGTATCATGTTTATTGATTTTCATATACTGAGATACTCAGTCTTTTTTTTTTTTTTTCATTTTTAAATTTTTTTCCTGAGTCATTCTTAGAATCCCAGGGACGAATCTCATGTGATCATGGTAAGTGATCCTTTTAATGTGCTGTTGTGGGGCCGGCGCTGTGGGGCAGTAGGTTAAAGCCCTGGCCTGAAGCACCGGCATCCCATATGGGCGCCAGTTCTAGTCCCGGCTGCTCCTCTTCTGATCCAGCTCTCTGCTATGGCCTGGGAAAGCAGTAGAAAATGGCCCAAGTCCTTGGGCTCCTGCACCCACATGGGAGACCTGCAAGAAGTTCCTGGCTCCTGGCTTTAGATCAGCACAGCTCTGGCCGTTGCACCCATCTGAGGAATGAACCAGTGGATGGAAGACCTCTCTCTCTGTCTCTACCTCTCTCAGTAACTCTGTCTTTCAAATAAATAAAATAAATATTTTAAAAAATGTGCTGTTGTGTTTAATGTGTTTGCTAGTATATTGTTGAGGGGTTTTCGTCTGTTCATCAGGCATATGAGTCTGTAGTTTTATTTCTTGCAGTATCCTTGTTTGCTTTTGGTTCCAGGATAATCCTGGCCTTATAATATGATTTTAAAATTTTTCTTCCTTTTTAACTTTGTGAAAAAGTTTGAGGGGAATTAATATTAGTTCTTTAAATGTTTGATAAAATTCAGTAGTAAAACCTTCAGGTCTTAGGATTTTTCTTTGATGGGAGATTTTAAATTACTGATTCAATCTCCTTACTCATTTTTGATCAGTTCAGATTTTCTGTTTCTTCATAACAGTCTTGGTAGCTTGTATTTGTCTAGGACACTGTCCATTTCCTCTAGGAATTATGATTTGTTTTATAATTGTTTATAGCAGTCTCTTATCCTAGTATCTGTTGTAGTATCTCTTCTTTCATTCTGATTTGAGTTATCTTTTTTCTTTGTTCAGTTAATATTTTGTTGATTTTGTTTATCTTTTAACAAACCAATTCTTAGTTTTGTTTATCTCTTCCATTGTTATTTTAGTCTCTTTTTCAATTCTTTTTTTTGTTAAAGATTATTTATTTGAAAGGCAGAGTTAGAGAGGCAGTGGCAGAGGTGGAGAGAGAGGCCTTCCATCTGCTGGTTCACTCCCCAAATGACTGCAACTGACAGGAGCTGGGCCGATCTGAAGCCAGGAGGCAGGAGCTTCCTCCGGTCTCCCACATGGGTGCAGGGGCTCAAGGACTCAGGCCATCTTCTACTGCTTTCTAAGGCCACAGCAGAGAGCCGGATCAGAAGTGGAGCAGCCAGCTCTCGAACCAGTGCCCATATGGGATGCTGGCACTGCAGATGGCAGCTTTACCTGCTGCACCACAGCGCTGCCCCTTTCAGTTATTTCTACTCTGGTCTTTATTATATCCTTTCTCCAAATAACTTTGGGATTATTGTGTTCTTTTTTATCTGGTTCCTTTTTTTAAGAGATTTTATTTTTTGGAAAGAGTTACAGACAGAGAGAAGGAGAGACAGACAAAGGACTTAGATCTGCTGGTTCACTCCCCAAATGGCCACAATGGCAGGAGCTGGGCCTATTCAAAGCCAGGAGCCAGGAATTTCTTCCGGGTCTCCCATGCAGGTGCGGGGGTCCAAGCACCTGGATTGTCTTCAATTACTTTCCCAGGCCATAGCAGAGAGCTAAATCAGAAGAAGAGCTGGTGGGACTAGAACAGGTGCCCATATGGGATGCTGGTACCACAGGCAGAGACTTAGCCTACTACACCACAGTGCCGGCCCCTTATCTAGTTCGTTAAGATATAATGTTAAGTTGTTTATTGGGATCTTCCTCTTGCGATGTAGGTATTAATTGCTATAGATTTCCCTCATAGAACTGTTTTTGCTACATCCTGTAGCTTGGCATATTTTTTTTTTTCATTTTTATTTGTCTCAAGATTTTTTTAAATTTCCCTTTTAATTTCTCCTTTGATTCATTGTTTGGGAACATGTTTAATTTCCATATATTTATGCATTTTCCAAAATGGCTGTTGCTATTTATTTATAGTTTCGTATCACTGTGTTTGGCAAAGATGCTTGATATGATTTCAGTCTTCTTGATTTGGTTAAGACTTGTTTTGTGGTCTAACATATTACGGAGACTATTCCCTGTGTGCTTGAGACAAACATGTGTTCTGTTGCTATTGGATGGATCCCTCTTGACGCTGCACATGGATTTTCTGCTTGTTTTCAATGGCAGTGGCACTGGTGTCTGATGGTGTTTGTGGAGCTGTCATGGAGCTGGGACTTGAAGCATAGGTTCACCTGCAAGGCTATAACTCTGGAATTCTGGTGGTCATGAACATGACCCCTGGAGCACAAGCATTCCCACTGCCATGTTGGTGGCAGTATGCAAGGCATACATTCTTGTGCTGTAGTCAGAGAGCCAAGAATATGACCACAGGTGTGAGCGAAGTTAGCCTGGCTCTGACCCCGTGGCATGGTTTATAGCTGTAGGACATCTGAGCCAGTGCTTGGAGCATGGTCCATGTCTAGCATGGGCTTGGCTCTGGAGCCCAGAGTATGCGCTAGATTACTATTGCCAAGGTCACAGCATCTGAGGCATGAATGGTTTACAAAGCAGCTGCAGAGCCTCTGTCTAGAGTATGAGCATTCCCAGAATGGCTATGGATGGATGGATTGGGAAATGCTGGGGGTTGGGAGAAGTCCTTCTCCAGTGTGGCTATATTTGGTGGTGGTAGGGGGGGAGGGGTGGGCACCTGCATCTCTTTCTCTGGATTTCCCTGGCAGGAATGCCTATTGGTTTACCTCAGTGGTGAGAGGCTGAAGTTCTTTGCGGAGCAGGCCTCTGGAGACTGCCATGGTCCCCCCTGCAAGGCAATCAGCAATAGCCTATGCCTTTCTTTTTTCCTGCAAGTCATCTCCAGGTGTCTCAGGTATGCTGGTCTCCACAGAGATGCTGGCTTTGTGGATAGTCTCTATTTTCTACTCTATTGTGTTGCTGCAGGTTTTTTTTAATGGACCCTTGAGCTCTTTCTGGGCTTACATATTTATGTATGTATGTATGGATGAGTGTGTGTGTGTGTATATAAAATAAGATGTCATTTTGGTTAGTTAACCTGCTTGTATAACAGCACTGGGTTGAATTATATCCCCCAACAAGTTCTGTCCAAGCCTTAGCCCCCAGTACCTGTGAATGTGATCTTATTTGGAAACAGACTCTGCATATGCACTTCAGGATTTGGAGATGAGATCATCCAGTATTTAGGGTACCACTAATTGTAAAACCTCAGTCTAAACTGTATTTTATATGGTTATCAGGATAGTATTACCAATGATAATATATAAAGAGAAATTTAAAACTTGGTGAAAATTCCTTATGTACTAAGTGTTTTTAAATATATTGAGGAATTAATGCTCACAGCACCCTTACCAGGTAGATACTGTGAATAATCAGAATTTTATAGATGATAAATTGAGGAAGAGAGAGAGCAAGGACCTTGCCCAAGATGGCATAGAGAGTGAGACAGCTTATATTTGTACCCAGTTTGTTATGACCTAGAGTGTGGAACAGTATCAAAGATTTATTAAGTGAAAGAAGCAGTTTTCTCAATCATGTGTATCTTGGTAGGCCATTAAAAATAATGCCTAATAAGTTAATATATTCACACAAAAAACTGGAAACTGCACCTAGTGGCAAAAAGATTATTTGTATGGGTGGGCATTGTGGTACAGTGGGCTAAGTCACTGCTTGGGATGCCCACATGCCACATCAGAGTGCATGGGATCGAGTCCTGCTTCTAGTTGCTGCCCAGCTACCTGCTAATGTGCACCCTGGGAATCAGCAGGTGATAGCTCAAATTCTTGGGCCCCTGCCATTCATGTGGGAGACCTAGATGGAGCTCAAGGCTCCTGACTTCAGCCTGGCTCAGATCTGCCTGTTGTAGGTATTTGAGGAGTAAAATAGCAGATGGAAGAACTTTGTCTCTTTGCATTTAACAAACAGACAAACAAAAGTGATTTGTGACCTTGGAATACATATTCCTTGCAGTGCTGAGGACTGTAGTGCAGTGGGATAAGGAGTCAGCGGGAAAAAAAAGAATGTTAAGAGGGAATGTAGGGACCACCCCTGGTTTAAAATTGAAGGGAGGATTAGAAGGGGGCTCTTCTGTTGCTGAATAGGTAATGAAATATCTAGGGTGGATTTTGAAAATCTTTAATTACTTGAAAGTTGAGCATGACAAAAAGTCAATGTGAAGAATTCAACTTATCTCCGATTTAAACCATGGAAGTTGTCCATATGTTCATTTCTTTAGTGCCTTCCTATTTGTACTTGAGAAATAATGAGATCCCTGCAATGGAATAGTATGGGTTTTTAGTTCAATAAATAGTTACTTGTCAATGGAAGAAAGGATAATTGTGTGACAAGAAGTACTGGTTACTCTTTGAGTTTTGTCTCCCAGGGAGGCACTGAATGACTGGAATCTTGCTGAGATGCTGGTGGATTTTGTAGCACTTGAGGACACTGCACTAGAGACGACAGGACAGGTGCGGACATTTCCTGTACATATATGAACCCACGCAGCACCGCACGAGCAGCCACTGGACGAACACCACACCTGGCTTCTCTGACCTATCACTGTGCTCATGTGGTGAGTACACAGAAACACACACACACACACATCTTCCCAGCATGGGGCACTGAATTTGAGTCTGCTCCGAGGTATGAGGGTGAACAATTCTTTCTTTTTTTTTTATGACAGAGTGGACAGTGAGAGAGAGAGAGAGAGAGAAAGGTCTTTCTTCCTTTACTGTTGGTTCACCCCCCAATGGCTGCTGTGGCCAGCGTGCTACGACCGGCACACAGCGCTGACCCGAAGCCAGGAGCCAGGTGCTTCTGGTCTCCCATGCGGGCGCAGGGCCCAAGCACTTGGGCCATCCTCCACTGCACTTCTAGGCCACAGCAGAGAGCTGGCCTGGAAGAGGGGCAACCGGGACAGAATCCGGCGCCCCGACCGGGACTAGAACCCGGTGTGCCGGTGCCGCAGGCGGAGGATTAGCCTAGTGAGCCACGGCACCAGCCAGAATAATTCCTATTAGAATATGAAACACCCAAGAACATAGAGGAACCTTCTGGCTCTAAAACTTTGGACTCAGGTCACATCAGACGTGTGTGCCCCCATCAGGGGAAACAGACGTGAGGTGCACAGTGCCTGCCTTTGTGCTGGGCTCAGCCAGCCCCTCCTGCCCTGTCCCAACTTTTAAAGGAGCAGAGAGGCCCCACGGGATCCCCCTGCTCTGGACAGTTTCCTCATTGACCCCCGGGGACAGCTCTGTAGGGGCGGTGCGGTCAGGCCCATTTCACATGACCCAGCTCAGCTCCCAGAGCCTCGGTCTGCTGTGCAGGTGGGTGGGGGGAGGGGAGTGGCAGGAGGTTCTGTCCCTCGTCCTCCCTAGGGGACCCTGAGCAGCCTCCCTTCTAGAAGATGGGCCTCCAGCTTGAGACGTGGTCAGAGGGCACAGCCCTGCTAGTGCGCCCCGCGCCTCCCTGCACGGCCCCTCTCGGTGGCAGGGGAGGCACCATCCCAGCCTCCGTGCCAGGAGCCCCGGGTGTGGGGCCACCTGAGGGGCTGGTCCCTGAGGTGGTGCGTGGGGTCTGGCGGGAACTCGGGTGCTGCCCTGAGGACAGGTGAGTGAGAGGGAAGGAAGGCAACATGTACTGAGTTCTTGATGCAAAAGCACTTCATACTTCATGTCTTTATACTTTCATCCTAGCACTTGATCAGTCATTATGTCAGTTATTCCTGTTAGGTCCTAGCTTCAGGTATTTTTTTTAAAGATTTATTTATTTATTTGAAAGAGTTACACAGAGAGAGAAGGAGAGGCAGAGAGAGAGAGGTCTTCCATCCGCTGGTTCACTCCCCAATTGGCTGCAGTGGCTGGAGCTGCGCGGATCCGAAGCCAGGAGCCAGGAGCCTCTTCTGGGTCTCCCACATGGGTGCAGAGGCCCAAGGACTTGGGCCATCCTCCACGGCTCTTCCAGACCACAGCAGAGAACTGGATCGGAAGTGGAGCAGCTGGGTCTCAAACCGGCACCCATATGGGATGCCAGTACTGCCGGTGGCAGCTTAACCTGCTATGCCACAGCACCCAATTATAAATCTTAAGAAAAAATGTGAGATGGAAAGACCAGGTGCAGAAGATGAGTCCCATGGTGGCACCTTTGGGAAACACTCTGTGTGTGTGTGTGTGTTCTTCTAAATCTTACCTGTAGATACACATCTGGATACTGTCCAGCATTCTGTTGCCAACAGATGCATTTACATCAGATAGGAGATGGGCCAGCAGGAAATGTAGATTCGCATTCATGAGTTGTATATGTTGAAATTTTGTATTTAGGTGGAAAATGCCTTTTTTTTTTTTTTCTATTTGAGAGGTACATGGACAGAGAGCTTCCATCTCCTGGTTTATACCCCAAATGACTGCAATAGCCAGGACTGGGCCAAGGTCAGAGCCAAGAGCTGGAAATGCAATCCAGGTCTCTCACCGTGGTGGCAAGAACCCAATTATTGAGACATCACTGCTGCCTCCCAGGGTCTACATTGGTGAGAAGCTGGAGAGAAGCTGTAGCCAGAAATTAAACCCAGGATCTCTGATGTGCAGGCAGGCATCTTAACTGCTAGGTTCAATGTCTGCTTCCAAGGTGAAAAGTATTTACTTCTAAAGAGATTGATAAAGTAACACTCACATGTATTTATTAATTTGGAAAGGTATGAATTACATGCAATTTTCTGGTGAAACAAAGTAGATAACAAATTGAACTCTCTGTGTATGTATGTTTCTTATTTCTCCTTTAGCTTTATGACCCAGATACTTACAGGTGAAGTATCATTTTAAATTAGATAGGGGCTGGAGCCAATCTCAGTTCTAAATAATCATGGACAATAATGGATACCGAAGCTTCCTGTCATTAGGCAGTAACTCCTGAAAGTTCTGGTTGAAGCCAAGCTGTGATCTTCTGCGCTTTCCTTCTTTCTGAACCCTGGTCTGGAACACTCAATTAGTCCTGGCTCTGGTCACCTGATGACACCCACCTCCATTTTTCCTCTGAGTCTTTGATGAAAATGCATGCATCTTGCATAGTCACACAGGTCTGGAAGGGGTTTGTCTGCTGTAATGACACCTGTGTGGTACATGCACATGAACATGAAATCAGGTCCACTTGCTGTTCACCCCACTTCTCCATCACATCCCCTGACTTGTCTCTCCCTTCTCTGTGGGCTGAGGTGTCCACACTGCAGGGGTTCCTCCCAGAGAGCAGGGTGTTCTTCCCGCATTACCTCACCCTGTACAGGCTTCCTAGACGTCCTCCCGCCTCTTCTCAGCCACCCTTCTCCTGCATACCATGGCCACACCTGCCCTGATCCCATTATTGCTAGCCTGTCACCTCTCTGTCACCTCCTCCTGCCCTGCACCTGCTCATCTGTGTGAGCTAAGGCACCATGAGCACCTTGGTGTTTAATAATGTCATGTCTATGGTCCAGAGTATATGTTTCTACAGTGTTCTTTCACATATGCTGAGTTTTTTCAGGACAGAGTCAGAAGCATTCTGTACTTAGGTTTATTAGCTGGGTTTTAAGGGAGATATTACACTTTGTGCTCATTACAGACACATTGGGCTTGTAGTTTTCACAGTAGAGGTACGATGGTGCCACCTTGTGACCAAATCCTGCAGTGCAGGTGGAACTTGGTAGAGCTGGAAGGTGGGAGGGAGGGCCTGTGGCCCAAGCGACCCCACAAAGCTTTCTGGAAGTCTAGGAGGGAAAGGAAGGATTCATAGGAATACTACAGGAAGGCTCAGGGTGTCCAAAAGGAAGTGTAGTGTCCTGTCACTGTGCAGTAGAGAAAGCCCTGTATGAGAGGAAGGGAACGATTAGTTTGGGGCTGTGAGGGCTCTGGATGAACAGAGACCTGACAAGCCAAGTGCATCCATGCTGTTCATGACCTTCTCAGCCTAACTTCACCCTCACGGTCACCGTTCTCTACCCACATACATTTCTTTTCTTTTCTCTTGGAATAGTGTCACTGGCATGCTTTTTATGAGCTTCATCTTGGGGCTTTTAGTATGTAATGAACCAGGTGAGGGTGGTGGGGCTAGTTTCCAGCACTTCGCAGGTGAACTCCAGTGTAGGTTCTTCTCAGGAGTACAACAGGTTCCTCACAGTTTACAGGCTCATTACTGAGCTGCAAAAACTCTCTCCCCTGTATTCCTCTGATCATCTGCCACAATCAGACAGAAAGCAGGAGACTTTTTTCTACAGCTATAGTGGAAACCTTAGCTGAAGGTAGCCATGTAAACACGTTTCTGTGAGAATTTTTATTTTAAAGATTTATTTACTTATTTGAGAGGCAGAGCTACAGACTGAGAGAAAGAGCCAGAGAGCGAGGTCTTCCATCTGCTGGCTCCCTCCCCAATGGACACAATGGCAATGCTAGGCCGATCTGAAGCCAGGAGCCAGGAGCTTCTTCCAGGTCTTCCACGCGGGTGCAGGGGCCCAAGGACTTGGGCCATCTTCTACTGCTTTCCCAGGCCATAGCAGAGAGCTGGATAGGAAGAGGAACAGCTGGGACTCAATCCAGCGCCCACATGGGATTCCAGCACTGCATGTAGAGGCTTAATCTTTTATGCCATGGCTCCAGCCCCAGGATTTCACCTTTTTTTTATTACAACAACTAGGCTTTCATGATATAATACCACAAAGTTTATTTTACCCGTATTGTTTTGATGAAAACTCAGATAGTTTACTATGCATTATTACAGACTGCTCTACATAACTGCCTTGCTCATCTATATGCATTTCTTTGTGGTCAGTTTCTCAAATTTTTCAGAACCTGAAAATCTACAGAAATTATGAATTAATACATTCAGATGCCATTATTAACGCATGTTCTGAACAGCAGGAAATGAAAGTGTATGTTTCTCCACACAAAGAAAGAATGCTCCTTGGTTAGGCAGCAAATATCTCTCATGCCTGTTTACATCGTCATTTATTTTTACTGCTTATCAGTATTCCATGTGACAATTCCTATGACCCTGTGTCATTCAGAGTGCTGTGGCGTTTGCCGTCATCCTCACTGGGTGG